TCCAAGGGAGACTTTCAGGGGCATAAGCCAACAACATCCCGGGGCGGAAAAGAACAGAATCAACGGAGCTAGCTCCCTTCCAGCCGGCCTCTCTGTGTCTCGGTCAGGGGGATGCATTAGGTTCCCTTTTCCGCATCATTAGGGTGCATTGTGTGCCATGTTGCTAGTGGATGAGTGTCTGCAATTATCTGAGAAGCGACACAATGGCCCCAGCAGAGACGCGTGCGGCGGGTTGCGGTGCTCCGTTCCAAAGCCCCAGCACTCTCCTCCATCATGTTTTATTGATAAATCAAAACAATCAGACTAATAATAGCTTCTCCAGAGAAGAGTTTCCTCCTCTGTGGTCAAACTTGCCTGCAGCAGGAATGAGATCTAACAAACAACACCATCTGGGGCCCAAATGTAACGTCTGGGCCTCTGATTAATAACTATCACAATTTGTGTGGCTTTCTTTTTCTCTCTTGGACAATCCTGGAGAGGCCACCTTGAGCACCACACTCAGGCTGGGATCCAACATGAAGGAGATGGAGCAAAACTTCACAGAAGTAATTCTCCAGACTTGTATGGCAGTTGTGCATTTCTCCTACCTTAGTGCACTACAGCACAGCACAACTAGAATGTGCATTGCACATGGATGCACAGGTGCAATGGGCATCAATGTGCAACCATGCACAAGGGATGCACAGAACTCCGTTTCCATGACTGAAGCACTGGTATCTCCATTGCACAATGGTGCAAAATTTATGCCTATGTATGTCATGAATAGGATGCCACAGATCACAAAAGGAGGCAGCAGTCAAAAACCAAAACAAATGAAATGCTATAAAAGCAGATGTCTGCAAAAAGTGCAAGAAGTAAATTGTTGCCAACTTATGGCAACCCTAAGGCGAATCTATTATGGGGTTTTCTTGGCAAGATTTGTTAGGTGAGGTTTGTCATTGTCATCCTCTGAGGCTGGGGGAGTGTGATGTGCCAAAGGTCACCCAGTGGGTTTCGTGGCCGAGCTGGAATTCGAACCCAGAGTCTCCAGAGCCAGAGCACAACACTCAATGTACTGCACCATGTTGTTGTCAATTATGTAATTACATGCCACCCAAAACCCAAGGCCACAAAAAATTTATACACAGATGTATAAACATAAAGAATATATAGACAATGCCAAAACAGATTCAAGGTGCATGGAGCAACATGCCGCAAATGCCAGCCAAACTCAGGAACGAATGGTACTATACTCCGAGTTAATACACCAAGATATAAATGGAGCTAAGGTGCAGGTGGAGCAATCATTGCAACATGGAGCCCAGTGTCCCATCAGAATGGCCTCAGGATGTGGATGATGGGTGGGTCAGTGGGTGACCCTTGTTGCCCCATGTCTAAAAGAGACTGATGACGAACGAAGAGACCAGGAGATACCAGCAGAGCTACGAGGAACAAGATGTGCAACTTGGCACCCAAAGCCAAATGTCAATTTTTCTTCCCCTCTTGGTTAATGGACTTTCTTTGTCCGCTCCATTAACTGCAAGATAGAAACATAATACAGGCAATTTAATTGAGCCTGTCAGAAAGCATTCACTTGTCAGGTAATTTCGTTTCTTTTCTCCCCCACTTTTCTCCAGTTTCTGGCTTTTCTCCCACGTCATCAGATTGTATATAAGGAATAGCTATTGTCGGAGCACATTAGTTCCTTTCTTCTCTCCTCTTCCAGCGTCCTTTCCAACAACTGTGCTTGGCAGAATCTTTTCCTGGGAACAAGGAGGACTGCAACTCCATTCCGGTGTTCAGTCCGAACTTTAAAGGAACTGTCTAACGTTCAGCACCTTGGATGCTGAAGTTCGAAGTTCCTGGGAGCAGGAGCATTGCTCACTGCTATGGCATCTCTGCCCAACCTCTGTCTCCATTTATTTATTTAATGCACTTATATCTCACCTTTCTCCTAAAATGGGATCCAAAGCAACTTCATTGATGTTTTTTGCCTTCAAATCATCTCTGACTTATGGTGACCCTAAGGCACCATAAGACCTTATGGCAACCCTAAGGCAAACCTATCATGGGGTTTTCTTGGCAAGG